CTTGAGCTTGAGCAATCTCATTTTCATCTGTATATAGGTGCTGAAAGAACTGCGTGACCAATTGCTTCAATTCCTCTTCCTCCTCTACCCAATCCCCCTGCTGATTTTTGAGTGCAGCAATCCTATTTCTCTTGCGTCTTTGCAAGGTCCTCGAGTGGAAGTACGCAGTGTTCCTGTCCCCTAAGGCAATCCATTCTTGCCTTGATTTTTGACACCAGAGAAGCTCCTCCTGGAACAGTGTCATTTCCAATTCCTCTCTAGTACTTTCAAGTTGTGGTGATGTCGTCAGATGACCATCTCTCTGTTCCAGTGTCTCCAACCTCTTCATAAGTGCATCTTTCTTTCTCTGAATATGACCAAACACATGGCGATTCCAATGGTTAGCATCCCGCGCAAAAGCCTCTGCCGAAGGGATGAAAGATGACCCTTTGGCCCAGGCTGTCTGCAACATAGGTTGGAACTCATCATGTGTTAACCAGGCTGCAAGGAAGCGGAACGGCTTTGTCCCTGCAAAAGTGTGCGATGGTTCAGTGGAGACCAGGAGCGGCCTGTGGTCTGACTTGATCCGGGGCAGATGGCGTACAGCGGCATCGGGATAATGCATGAGCCAGTGGTTGTTGGCTAAGGCACGATCCAGTCTTTCTCGAACTCCATTTCGAAACCAAGTGAAGGGTGGCCCATTGTATCCCAAATCGATCAGCCGGGAGTCATGCACACAGTCTTGGAAGTCCCGAATGCGGCTTGCATCAAAAGCAGCACCACCCAACTTTTCAGACGAATGTAGTATAGAATTGAAATCTCCTACAAGCATCCACGAGTGATCCTGGTTGACCGACATCGTCCTGAGATCCTCCCATAGCTCTCGGCGTTGCATAGGTGCTGGATTAGCATACACCGCAGTTAGGAGCCACTTGTTTTCTCGGATACCTGGAGTTTCAACCTGCACATGAAGGAATTGAGGACGAGCATCAAGCTGTGTAATGGTCATATCAGTGGAGTTCCATAGAATCCAAATCCCTCCCGAAAATCGAATAGCATCAACAGCCAATTCCTTATCAAAAACCCATTTTATGAATCACATCTCTCGCTATATCTCCACTAATACGTGGTTCAACTATAATCACTATCTGAGGTTTATGCTTTCTCCTATATTCACCGAACACACGAAGGAATTTTCTACTACCCGCCCCCTGCAGTTCCATACAAAAATTTTGTAATTCATCATAAACAAATTGGGTAAGAGAAGGGGGAAAAAAACTCCCTGAATTCAAATTTGGGATGGGGGGCTGCATCCCGCACTCCCAAGGTCCATTTTTGTCTCTTTCATCTGCTCATCGACTGTCTGTAATTGCTCTGGTATCTCACCCATATTAGTAGGTCTCCCTTGAGGAGTGACAGGTTGTGGTGAGTCGGATTGCTCTTCGCCGGCTGGAGTCTGTGGAATAGATTGGACCGTCATAACCTCCTCCTGGGATTTCAGTGGAGGGTGAGTTTTTGACGAGCTTTTGGCAGAAGCCAGTGCAGTCCAGGCAGCGATCTCCTGGAGGGATAGTGAGCTTGATTTTTCTCGGTCTTTGATTCTCTTGTCTAGTGTCGGAGTCCAAGCCTGTATCATTTTAGATGGCGAGGCAATATGGATTCCGACTTTGCTTTTGTTATTGGTAGCTTTGAATTTCTTTGTTCTGGTTGCTGCCGAGGGAGAAGATGAGATTTGACCGGTTCGGCCTGAATGTTCAAACGGCTGGACTTGGACTAGCTGTGCTGACGTGTTGGAGCCCGTGATTTTGACAATAGGCGGTAGTGATAGATCATGCACCCCTGAAGGTGTAGGGGAGTGGAGGCACCAACCTTGTCGTATAGTGAAGAAGATGTATGGATGGTCGATGATGCATGTGATCGTAGATGGCTTTTCCCTATAGTAGTAGTTGGAGGCAGGGGGCTTAAAAGAGTGGGGAGTTTGACAGATGGTGGGTTATGGTGGGATTAAAGTAGATGTTGGGTGGAAAGTAGAAGTGTCGTGGGTGTTATAGGAATGGGTGGGAAAGGGATTAAATGGAATTTTGGATTGTTCTGGGTTTGACAAATCATATGGATTTTTGTTGTTTTGATCAACTTGAGCTGGGGGAATTGATGGGTAAATTGGGCTTTGATTTGTGGCATGTAGAGGTGAAGGGCTTGGGTAGAAGAGGCGAAGGATGGCCCAGTATTGGTTGTCTTCTTGTTGTTACCGAGAGATGAAATAGGGATTTCGGCCATCTTCCTTTACTGCGCCGCATTTAGTGTTTTACTCCTGTTTTTATCTTCTACTGCGGCAAGCGAAGAGGCTGAAAGCTTAGCTATCTTCAACTTTTCTTTTGCTGCGATTTCTTCCTTAGTCAGATCACCCATTCCTTTATTAATGCTCTGCTCTTCCTCCATGTTGATACCGTTGTCGTGGCCAGAGGCAAAGCTTTGTTTATTGTTGTTATCATGGGTATTGGAGCCTCTTCTGACAATATTGATGTTACCTTGTCGGTTCAGATTTGGAGTCGTCGTATTGCCGCCGTTTGCCTGAGTTCTCACCCGATGAGTGTTGTCGGCGGCGGGGGACTGTTTACCTGGTTTGGTATTCCTCCAATTGCGTCTCTGGACTTGCATCCAAGGGCCGTAGTTAGCTTTTGGTTCATGGTGATGTTGGGTAATGTTCTGGGTCGACGGTGGGGAGGATGCGGCGGCGGTTATTTCTAGAAGTTGCTTGGTGGGGCAAGCCTCTTCTAGATGTCCGATTCTGCCGCAGGTGAAGCACAACTGAGGTAGATTTTCATATTCCACAGCTTGCCAGTGCCCATCTAGCCAAAATCTTGTGCGTAGTGGTTTTGAGACGTCGATTTCGATAGCCATTCTAGCAAACTTTCCTCTTTGAACGGTGAGAGTGTTTGGGTCAATTCGGATGGTTTTACCGAAAAGATTGCCTATCACCGTCAAAATCTGATTGTGGTAGTATTGAATAGGTAGAGCAGGAAAGCTTACCCATGGTGTGATGCTTGGTGGGAGCTTCTCTGTGAGGCGGAAATCCTTGGACCATGGCTGAACCACCAGGTAATGTTCGAGGATCATCCAGGGGCCATCTGAAAGGGAGGTGAGGTAATCAGCCCTGTTGGTGAATTTGACCATGAAGCAATCTTGGTCTAGGTCTAGCACATCCATGTGGCCAGAAGGTCTCCACATTTTGTATAAGCGTGCGACAAGGTAAGGATACCGAACTTTCCTTCCAATCAAACGCTCTACAACAGTTTGCTTCAGTGGTGTACAAACTTGGTTGAGTAGTTGAGGGGACCATAGAAGGGACGGTTCTCCATCCCGGGAGCCTATTATGTAGTCCTCCTGCGAAACCTTGAGTTCTGAATTCGTCACAATGTTAGTAGGCAAACTGCCAGATTCCAAAGCTGCCTTGTAGGAAGGTTGGGGGTTGACAGTAATAGGTGAAGGAGAAGTAGTTGGCAAACTAGATGGTAGAGGAAGAGATGATGTCGACCATATAATGGACGGGTCTCCCTCCCGGGAGCTTACAATGTAGTCCCCGGCGAAAAAACGGTTTCTGAAGCCATCACCATATTTGGGGGCGAAACTCCATTCTCCAAAGCTAGTTTGCTAGACAGCTGGTGTGGATTGGGTTGAGATAAATGAGGGTTAGTTAACATCATAGATGCTGGATGAAGAGAAGATGGTGGCTGGTCGGATATGCTGATTTGTGGGATGGATGGAGGATCCGCATCCATCATTGATTGGTGAGCTTTAGGTGATTGCAGAAGTGGTGGAAATTGAAAGGATGGATCTGGTGGCCGGTCGGGTGGAACAAAAGGTGGAGGTGATTGGATTACCGGCGGTGCCGGAGGATGGTTTGCTGGGAGCATCTTGCTCCAATCCGCTCTCGAACTAACTTCAATTATGTTTAAAATGAATTCTATTAATACCTAATTTCATTTCACAATGAATTAAAAAATGCATGCAAGTAAAAATGTATTCATAGAAAGTGATTTCTCGGATGGTTGCTTCCATTCCATGTATAGAAAGTCAATTCTAATCAAAGCTTCCAGTAGTTCGTCTTTAACAGCTACAAATTCCATCGTACTCTGAAGCTCTTGTTGGGATCTCAGAAGCAGACGAATCTGCCGTTTTCACTAACAACTACAAATGCAGGCCACATATAGCAAGCAAGATACAAGTTAAGCAAGACAATGATCCATTCATTCATTCATTCATTCTGCAAAAACTGTGAACAAGATCAAAATGACAGACAGTAAAACACGACAAGGCTACCATGGCCTTTCTTGCAGGGCACGGCGAACCTTGTACGCAAAATCCAGATGCCCGCTCGCTTACAGCCAGGGTGCCAATCTATCTTCCTCCTACCTAATGCTTATTTCTGGATCACAGACAGAAGAACACTCGAATCAACTACCTCACTCAATCAAAAAAACACAAGTTAAACCTTCACAATTTGAACAAAGGAATACATTCACCATAACACATTTGAAGAGGTCACTGTAGTCAAGTCAAGTCAAGCCAATCCATCTCGAGGGAAGAAGGAAATACAAAACATTCTACCAATGCACATCAGCCCAATACTCATTCCAATCCCTACATGCTCTACAGAGAAATCAAACTACCGGAGACTGAAATGATAACCACTGCAACCATGCTAACTCACTCAATCTAAGGCCTCAGTCCAAGAGGAAGCTAGACAAAATGGGGAATCAGATTAAGAGTGTAACAGATCAGCAAAACAAACAGAAATTAACATTCATGACAATGGCAGTAAATGTCACAAGTAGGTTCCATCTTTCTATCAGCAGCAGCAGCAACAGAGAGAATGGCTGATCGAAAACATTAGTAACAAGGCATATATAAAAGCTGAAGGGAAACAGAAATACGCTCGAAGATCATTCTAGCAAGACTGCAGATTACTTGAAACATATGGGAAACAGAAACACCCTGTTGTTGTTGTTGTTCCTTCATAATCATACCACAGCTTTAGCAGGGGCAGCCACTTTCTCAGCTTCGGGGATTTTAACATAACCTATCTTCTTAGCATCTTCTTCTTCTTCTTCTTCCTCATCGTCGTACAATTCGTCGTAGTAGGCAGCAGAGCGGACGGCAAAGAGCGACCAGACCAGGTACATGGTGGCGGCAGTGAGAGCTCCACAGCCCACGCCAAAGAGCAGAGCCACAACCACGCTTAGGATATCCTTAGTACGGTCTCGGAGGGAGCTGATTTCGTGGGACGAAAGGCCGAAGGGGAGGAGACGGGCGAAGCCCAGCTGATCCTCTTGCTGCCGCTCCCGCCGGTGGCGAATCGCGAGCCACCACCAGCGACGTGATTCTCGAATTCGAGGCCAGGGAAGACGGCGCGGTCGCTGATCATGTTGGACGAGGACTCCGAGGAGCTCTGGTGGCCGAATTCGGTGACGATTGCCACGAATCCCGCCGAGCGACGACCGAAATTAGGGTTAGGGTAGCGGAAGGAGTGGAGAGGCTTGAGGGAGACGGTGTAGGAGGAGATGAAGAGAGTCTTACAGGGCCTTCCGGCGGAGACGGAGGCGGAGAGGAACCCGATCAGGACGGCGAGAAGGAGGAAGACGACCGAAACATGCCTCGAAGTCGACGCCATTTGACGGGACGGGAGGAATTTGACACAACTCTCTCTCTCTCGCTTTGTTGCTATACTGCTAAGAATGAACGATGTGGAGGAATGAGGATTGGATGATTAGTTCGCTTTTAATCTCCAAGAATTTTCGCTTTGGAATTGGGGGGTGTCGATATGCGCCGTTAGATGGGGTTAATCTGTGATTGTAGCCTTTGATTTACGTTGACATCCGCTTTGATGACGAGTCAATTCAGCAATTGCCCCCACTGCCCCTTTTCGTCTTATTTACGTACGAAACACAGGGTTAAATTCAAAGTAGTACCCAAGGTTGTTGGACTTAGTTTGGCCCGGTTCAGAAAGCGGGTTGAGAATTAATACGACCTCTTTAACCTGGTTTTTTTATGAATATATAAGAAAAGTCTATATGGTTGATATATATACAAATTATATCAAATCAATAACATATAACATTACACCAAAATAATATATCGTACTTGGATCGAACATATAGTAAGAATTCACACACTTATACAACATCAATATTCAGATGTTCAACTTATAATTCCAAAAATAGAGTTATGCGAAAAGGAAAGATAAATGATGTCGTGTAATCTCCAACCTGGTAGCCTTGCAGTGGGTCGACTAGTGGGTTGACAACCTTGGTAGTACGGTTGATAACACACAATATGGTGCTATTAGCCTCTATATTTTAGGTCTTTTCAGGTCATTACATGGTCTCAATGGTTATTATTTCATCAAATAATCTCAAATCCATTTCTCGAAGTAATATATGCAATTTTAGGGTGTATTAGATGATACTTGCATTTTAGGCACAAAAGAGGTCACAAGTGTAGGAAAACAAAAGGAGTAAAACAAGGAGATGACGGCTAAAGGGTGGGGATCACGATTGAGAAGAAGAGGCGCGAAGTCAAGCAAAAGATCGTGACCTCTAGACCAAAGTTCGCGTCTGTGATCTGGGGAGTGTCAGTAGTGAATTTGAGGAAGCAGCCACCAAGGAATGGACATAGAGTTTCGATAGTCCACTCGCAGCCTCAGTTTTCCAAGACCGCGAGAAAGATCATGGCTGTGACTTACGGATCGTGACCGTGAAGTCAAGCCACGAACTCCCAAGCCAGCCAGAGCAAAACTGGTGCATTTCAAGATTGCGACCTCACATTCGAAGTTCATGCCCGCGATCTCCTAGCCCTCAACCACGAACTTGCCTGTCCTCCTGAAGTCTATAAATAGGGTACTCCTTCCCTTTTACAAGAGAGCTGAAAACACTTATAAAATTATTGGTTTTAGAGAGACGTTAGGGTGAGAAGCTGAAGGAAGGAGAAGTAAGGCGAAGGCGAAGAAGAAGAAGGATCCAAGAAGGAAGGGATTTCTCACCAACCATTTGTAGTTTTCTTTTCCATTCTTTCATGAATCTTCTTCCCCCCCTGTATGTAGTAGTTACTCAAGGTTCTAGCGGTTTAATCCCCAAACCCTAGATTTATATTTTATTACGTAGCAATGCAGTCAAAATCGCGTTTTAAAACTTAAAAACTTACGATTTTACGCTTTTAGGTCACCAACACGGTTTCGTTTTCATATAAAAACTTAAGTGTATAAAATCGGACTAAATTGCGCTTTAAAGCTTATGCTTGTACGCTTTTAGTTCACCAAAACGCTTTACGTTTTTACGCTTTTAGTTCACTAAATGAGTATTCTTTTCATAAATTAATTATAAAAAGTATATTTTAAAAGTAAATCACCAACAATATGATGAATTTGAGATTGAAAGATACATACCAGGTACTTGGATGCATTCTTAACTTCAATAGAGTAATCTAATTCACCAGCTAGGCTCTTCCCGAATTCATTAGCATAGAGGAAAAGGTGGCTTATTGTTAAGATTTATGTTTACGAACTTATTATGTAGATGCTATAAGTTGCTCTACTTTAGGCATGAATTGCATGTATTTATTAACTTATCTAAACTCTGAGCATTCATATATTACACATAATATGTCCTACTTAATAGATTTTAGTTATTTTTTAGTATGCGTAAAAAACTTACGCTTTTACGCTTTGATTCTACGCTTTACGATTTTACCCCTTTTTCGATTCTAGGTAGAATCACGCTTTTGACTGCATTGTTACGTAGAAAGAATTTTGTTAGGATTTGTGAATGAAATGAGTTTATCTAGTGTTTATATTCATTTACTTATGTTGATTATGCTTTGAACTTGTCTCTCCATATATAATCGCAGAATGGAAATACAGAATAGTGGGTAAGTTTTACTTATCAACCAGGGGCATAGATGTACTGTCTAATATGTGATTATATGTTATCTAGCAGGGAAAGTTGAGTGAGAGTGAATTTAAACTAAAGAGGAAAGAAAACAAGTATTCGGTTTTTTCGTAAGCAAGAGAAGAGAGTCACTCGGGATTGAGTCCCCCTAGCTCCTCAGTTAGGTTCAAGTTGTAATTTCTTTTGGTTGTTTTACTGTTGATTAGACTGTGAAAGATTCGAAAATAGATTGGAATCTCTTAAACTGACCATGCTCTCTTAGACATAATACCCGGCAGGCGACTAGCCTTCACCGGGATAGACTGCTAAGGCGATTCATACAGATCCCCTCTACTTGGAACGAATTCCAATACAAAGCAGTGAATTGACTGACTCTTGTACAATCAATTCACTACTATCAATTGAAGAAGTTCTTATAACCTAATCAGATTCTATCTATCATAGGTTATAAGCAAAAGCCAAGAGAACTTTATCAGAATTCATTTGACTCAATAAACATGCCTCAATCGATTAAAATCATCCAGTATAACATTCCAAAAGTCATTACAATAAAGATTCATAACACATGAAACTAGGGTTCTTCATACCTAAGTAAGAGAAATGTTTACTTGATTTGGACCTAAAAAACAACCCAAGTCTCTCTTGAATTCGATTTAAAAAACAACATATAATAGTACTCATTGACAAAGCTTGAATTCCCAATCGAACATTCAACATACACACAAGAAACACCAATTAATTAGAGACTAATAGTTAAACACGTACTTAAGCAGGTAAACTATAGCAACCAACCAACGTTAGAGTATAGATGGGGGAACCAAAATTATCCAGTCATGTAAATCTGAGAGACTTGGGCCTCAACGACCGAGTTGTGAGTGATGTAGTACCGATCCAGCATGAGATACGGCGTCAGCTCCACCCCGGCATAGTAGAGCCTGAACTCGTGGTCGTGCAGCCCCCAAGCGCGGCCGACCAGCTGCTTCAGCTCCCAGCACGTGATGCTCTCCGACGGGCACTCGATCTCCGCCGGCCGCATCCGCCTGAAGTAGCCGGCCACGTGGGGGAGGGAGCTCCTCCGACTGCATCACGGTGACCGCGATGGGACCGGCACGAGGAGCGACGGCGAGATGGAAGACGATGTGGGTGTGGGGGCGGGCGAAGCGGAGGTTGTTCCCCGCGTGGACGATGAGGTGGAGCAGAACGCTGTCGTCCCTGAGGTCGACGCCCGGCCGGGTCAGGAGGGACACGCTCAGCCTGGAGAGGGATATCCCGTACGTGTTGTGGAAGAGCAGCTTCACGTCCAGGATCGTGGCCGTCGCCGGGAGCAGGAAACACGGCGCAAAGTGGCCGCCCACCAGCTTCACTTGGAGCTCCGCTGCTACCGCTATTCTGCCGGGGGGCGCCGCCGCCATCGATGTCTTGTAGTCTTGTAGCGTGTGTGGTTAGGTGCGGATACGATCAATACTACTTTGTGGGTTGAATGCATGCAGATCGAGCAAATATGGTGGCAAGTCAAGTCATGCGGAAAGTGGGAATGTGATCAAAATCTGTACTCACCATTGAAGTATGAGTCATTTCAGTTGCCCAATGGTATTGTCGTTTCACATCAGTACTGCACACCACCCTCTAGTTGTTGTTACGCTTTGTGTTTCAGGTCAGCGGGAACCGCGAACTTGGAAAAAACGCGCGCCGTTTCACTACAGCTCTTCACGGTCTGGAGCTGAATATCACGGTCGGGTGACCGTGATGTCATTTAGGCCCGCGAGATGGAAAAACCATCCTAGTCGCCTTGCACTTCACCGTCTTCATGCAATTGTCATGGTCACATTTTGGCACTTTTCGACCTTCAATCGTCCCAAAACTCGTCCTCGACCTTCCCACACGTGCTAGGATATGAAACATAGCAAACCAAGCACAACCTAGCCTAAAATAGGTTGAGAGACTATGAAATGCAAAGGCAACCTATCAAGAAATGAGGAATAAAATGTGTATAATTGGACCTGAATCACTACACCACACTTGAACGTTTGTCCCCAAGCAAACCAATCTCAAATAAGGTAATATTTCAACCTGACAACAAGAACTTGGGAACAAATAAAAGGGAACATAATGGATGAATCTCAAAGTTTATTGGGCATCAACACATGAACCGTTACAAGCAATACCGTCAATCCACCACAAATTACATTCAAATGCATTAAGAACGTGCAAACGAAAAGATCTCACTTTCTTCACAAACCAACAGATGCCTTGACAAAACTACTCACCAACCACGATTAACCATGCATAGAGTTCAAGTCCAAGGAAAAAACGAATGGGCGAACTAGGTCCTCACCGGGATAAGATATGAACATGCAGAATATGAATGAGAATCACTCACTCTAGACCAGTGGGGTCATGACCATTTGGTGCAAAAGATGTGCACAATCAACACTCAG